GGGCCGAGGCTCCGCCCCCGCCCGGGCGCCCAACCCGGCTGGTGGGGACCGGGCTCTCCTGGGAGGCTTGGGAATGAGCAGAGGTGGGCCCTGGAAGCAGATCTTCGGGAAAGGGAGAGCGGCGGGAAGTTTTCGGATGTTGTCTGGGGCATGGGCAAGAGTAGTGGCTATGAGGGGCAATGAGGCCGTGAAGACAATTGAAGGTGTGCCGAACATTCACAGCTGAAGAGCTGTAATTGGCCTTTTCCAAAAGGGCACCATTTCTGGTGTCACAGACACGAGTTTGAATCCTTGCTTTGTTACTTAAGGTCTCTGTGGGCGCCGGCAAGTCCCTTCTCCTATTCCGAGCATGGTTCTTTATTTAGAGAATAAAGATGACTCCCAAATGTCTATATTTCAGAGCTGATAGGAAGTCCGCATGCAATAACGAGCATTAAGAGTTAATAATCTTGCAATTCAGGGAGCCTGGTAGATGCTTTATGAGCGTCGTCTTTTAACCACAAACCTGGAAGGGAAGTACCAGCTTCTTCTTTCACAGAGGAGGGGGAAGTCTGGGGCGGCCTTAGGTCTTTCATTGGACAGGCACCTACTGAGGTTAAAATCGGTCGGGGCTCAGAGTCAAGGGAAAGGAGCTGACCTGACTCGGAGTGGAGAACATGGGCTTTGAAGCTAGAGGAAACGGGTTCCTACCTATGACTCTGCCACTTTCTTGCTGTGAGGCTTGTGTCAACTTATTCTTGAGTCCCTTTGAGTCTCCTCCTTTTTCCTCAGGAAAAAAAAAAAAAAAAAAGGAATAATGATACCTGGTTTGGTTGTGAAGGTTAGCAACAGCCCGGCACCTGTAGATACTGGGAGGTGGTTACGACAGAACAGTATCCTTGGTGAGCCTTCTGACCTAGGGCCAAATTGCTTTCACTCTCTAATGACTAATGGATCTGCATGCTGGTCTAAGCTTTTGTCCTGGCCACCTGAACAGCTCAGTCTTGGGAGTCCTGACAAGCAATTTCCTTGGAATTAGCTTAATAATACCTCGTAGGTGTGTGATGCATTTCAAAGAACTTTCCCACCATTATCTTCTGTCCCAGGGAGGCAGCAGGGCTGGAGAAGAGCAAGGCTCCCAGGTGAGGTAGCTGGCCTGAGGTCAGTGGCAGGTGAACCCTCCAGCTCCCTAGAGCCTTCAGGGCTACCTCCTGGGCGGGCAGGAGGGGGCTGCTGCTGAGGAAGTGCACGGGCTCTGAGTTCAGTCTGGCCTGCTACATGAATGGTGTAATGTCATGTGGGCTGTCACTTCCTCAAGAGCGGCTCCCTCTCACAGTGTGGAACTGAGTCTGTGGCCAGCCTGCTTACGCAGGTAGTATGTGGCAGAGTAGGATTTTCACCCTGGGTACCTGCTGCAGAGCCAGCACAGCCCAACTAAAATCCACCGTGGACCCATCACTGTCTTGCACCTGGCTTGGAGCAAAAGTCTCTTCACGTTGGGACTGATGGCTTCCAGAGGGTTGAGGTCTGCTCTTGCTCTGCAAAGGTGTGTGTATGTGCACATGCGTGCATGCATATCCCTGCATATGTATGTATTTTCTGAACAGTGCTCAGATCAGAGAGCAGCACTTGAAACAGGTTAAAAGTCATGGGTTAAACTGGGAGAATGGTTGGCAAAGACCGGGGTTGATCCCCCCCACACACACACCCATGTCCTTGTTCACCTCAAAAAGCTCACCAGGGTGAAGGCATGAAAGGTGATGACGTGACCAACCTGTTTGTTATGAAATACTGAAGTAGTTCATGCCAGGGGCTAACACACAGATGAGATCATATCATAAACAGGAATCTAGGACTCCAGCAGGCCAGGTGGAGCCCACCTGGGGAGAGCTTGGGCTGGGGTCTTGCCCTCTGCCTCACTACAAGGCCTGACCCCATGAGATGGCTGGTCTCAGACCTGGCTCCTGTCTACCAGTTATGGTCAGTTGAAGGTTCAAATCCTATCTTTCAGGAGGCGGTGAGAGCCAGGCTCATTAACCCCTAGACCTTGCTTTCCACATTTTTTTAAAAAGGTTATTGTTATTCCTATAAGGCGCATGTGCACCTACACCCAGCGTGAGTTTAAGCCACCAGGTCTGGGACTCGAGCCTGACCCTCGGTAGACCACATGGGAGTCCAGCGACATAGCCATTCCGCTAACTGCTGGTACTGCTTTCCGCATTTCTGAGAAAGGGTAGAGATGTTTACGGAGTAGGTTCCCAGTGGAGGCTCAGAGGCTACCTAGGGCAGTGTTCGGGGCAGGATTAGCACCAGCACTTCCCAACCAGCATCCAAGTTCTCCTTGTCAGTGTCTGCAGATTTGAGACTTTGCCAACTATGAAAGCCCACAAAGAAACCAGACTAGGGAACATGAAGAAATGAAACCAGGCTTAGGGATCAGTTGATTCATCTTTGACCCAGATCTACCAACTACTACCCATGTCTGGGCTCCAGGTGAGGCAAGCTGAAGACACCCCTCCTTTTTTAAAAAAAGGATTTTGCCTTCAGGCACATGCAAAGGCCAGAAAGCTACAGAGACATAAAGAGGAAATTGGGAAATCAACCCCAGGGGGCATGGCCACACTACAGTCCCCTCTTCTGGGATTTTGGACACATGCCCTCTGTATTCTCCCCAGGAATTTTGGGCACAAGCATGCATACAAGCACCCATCATGACCCTCCCATCCCCAGGTCTGGGACTTGAACCATGATAGACCATATGGGGGAGTCCAGCTGTTTTAACCACACCACCTGCTGGTCCCAAGACTCCTTACCACATCCCCTGCTAGAAAGGCATCGTAAATGACAGTGAAAAAGGACTGCCACTGCGAGGTCTCAGGGGGCCTGAGAAGGGAGTTCCCAACTTGCCTGAGCACCCAACTTGCTGAGTGAGCTTGTCTCACCTCCAACAAGAGGGCAAGGCCAGGCTCTTCTCTGCACCCAAGCCCAGCACTACCGGGCTATCGTGAGCCCTTGTTCGCCTCCCACCAAGTTTGAGAGAGGAATTTGCTCATCTCCCTCCTTGGGAGATAGGCTGATCTGTTTTTTCCAAGCTCCAAGGAACAGACATACTTCCCTAAATGCAGCCATGTGTAAGAGTTAATACCTAAGGAATGGGAAGACGGGTATGCGACCAAATCATGCACACAAGTGTTTAAAAATCGTTTATTATGCAAAATGTTAACTTTTATAAAAAGTTTAATATACATCACATGGTTACAGAAAGTCACCTTTCTGCAAAAAAGGTACAAAACGCTATATACTCTATTGTAGAGTTCATAATCAGGGCCACAGAGCCTTCTCCAAGGAGACCAGAAGACCAGCTCTACCGCCACCTTGGCAAAGTTTGGGGAGCAGCGGCTCTCCCTCCCGCACCACACACCTCCACGCTCTGAAAAGACAGTCTTTTAAAAACTCAGGGGTGGGGTGAGGGCAGGGTGACGTCGCCCGGCTGGTAACCAGAGCGAGTTCTAGATTTTCAGGCCACCCAAGTTCACAGTCCTTCGTTCTGGGAGCCAGGTCCAGCCTCGAGGCAGGGGCTTGGGGAAGTCAAGTGGGCAGGACAAAGTTGGGGCCCATCCATGCCCTCGAGCTTCCGGCCAGAGAGTCCCGGGGTCCCAGGCGGAACGGGCGCCAGCACCTGCGTTCTGGGCGGGGGAGGAAAGAAGACCAGGGATCCGTCAGTTTCCGCCAAGCGCGCCGAGGCGGGGGCCGTCCGCAGACTGGCCGGCGCCAGGGAGGAAACTTGGTGTCTACCTCCAGCTGATAACCGCTCACCCCACGCTGCCCCCACCCAGTTGGCGCCAAAAGACCACAGGCGGAACTTGCACCACCCTCCCCCTTGGAACTGACACTATTTGGGGGGGTGTGTTTGCAGAACATCTCCCTGTAAGACCCCAGGCAGAAAGGCTCCTTTATCCAGTCGGCCCCAGCTCTCTCCCCAATCTTAAGCCACTGAGGGAAGGACCAGGCAATGTGCCTTGTTGAAATGCACAGGAGATGGAACCTGTCATTCATTTCATGTGACCACAAGCAAGTCGCTCGCCCCTCCCTGGCCTTGGTTTCCCTAATCGAGCGAGTCAGCGTCAGTATTTCCCGGGTAAGATACTCACCTGGAGATGGCAGGATGGCCAGGTCAGTGGCAAAAGCTCCTCTTGTCGCTAGACATCACAAGCTCCGGTGCGAGTTCGGCTGTCTGAGAAAGGAGAAGGGGGTAGAGTTAACGCAAGGAACCAGGGAGCTCTGGGGGGTCCCGAAGCATCCCGGCCCAGGCGCTCAGCCTTGCCCCGGTTTTTACGCACACCTGGATCGGGAGATGCGGGCCGTCCGGGGGCCCTGGGGCTGGCTCGGCCAGGACCACCTGCAGGTCGAGGATGTAGTCGATGACGCGCTGCAGGATTTCCACCTGGCTAAGCTGAGTGCCTCGCGGGACTCCGGGTACCAGTTCCCGCAGGCGCGAGTAGCAGTGGTTCATGTCGTCCAGCAGGCTCAGCGGCTCTTCGGCCGTGGGGCCCTTGCCGCGGCCCCGCGCGATGGCCAGACTGCGTTCCGACAGGCAGCACACCGCCTCGTAACAGCCGCGCACCGGGCTCAGCGCCTTCATATTGAACAGTGAGGCCGGAGGTGGCGAATGGATGAGAAAAACCCTAGAAGCCTGCGAGCAGCTTGCAACGCGCGCACGCTTTCCACCGCCAGTACTTATGGAGCCCGCCTGGAAGACACGCCCTTTATTCAAAACAGCCGCCTCGCCCCGCCTCCGCCAGCCCTGGGCGTTCACAGCCCGCTTAAATTGCAAACAGGCTGCCTCCGGCTGGTCTGACGCCGGAGACCGCGGAGCGCGGATTCAAAGAATGAGGAAGCGCTGATACTGGAGAGAGGCGGGCCTCTTCGCCAGCAAGGATTTAAAAAAAAAATCACTTAAAACCATTAGCTTTAAGAATTTGCCTTTTCCTGGCAGCGCCCCAGTTCCCCTGCCCCCTGCTAGTCCACTCTTAGCCCAACACTGGTTCGAACCCACAGCTCCTCCGAGGTCATAAATCCCTGAACAGCAAAGTTTTTTTTGTTTTTTTTAAGCAAAAGATTTTTCAAGGGAAACTTGTAAGGAATTAGTGCCGCCTTGTTCCCCAATTTGCTGTTCGTCTGACCTCCAGACTCACTGGCGTCAGGAATTATCTTGTGACCAGAGGGAAAAAAAATTAATTGCGGTGAAGCTGAGGTTACAATGAAGAAAACAGATTTGGGCTAGGCGCTGAGATTGCAGGAGGAGGAGGGGAAGGGGGTTTGAGCAAAGAACACTATTTATTTGAGCGACAGGGGGAAAAGAAAAAAGAAAGCAGCCTGAATCTACTTTTTGCATGGGGAAAGAAAATAGTTCCGAGTCCCCCTGCCCCCCATCCCTGTATATATCCCCAACTGTACTTGGAAGTGAGTTTGATTAGAATTTTGGACAGTTTTTAAATATAGTGTGTGTGTTGGGGGGAGGCAAAAGGAAAAGTTTTATTGTATGTAAACCTTTTGAGGAGTCCCCCACTGGGTCAGCAGATCTTTTAACTCTTGCTTCTTGCCCTTCCCACCGGCAACTTTCTACACACCTCTGTGCAAAAACCAATAGTAATTTCATCTGCTTCTGTAGGTCCCTTTCTGCAATGGAAGGGCAAGCCACCTGGACGGGACTATTCTTAGTCCTGCTGCAGTTGTTC